TAAACCCTATTTCAAGGGTGTGGGCCTTTTACGGAGGTTGTTTGGGGGGGCTGCTCAGGTTTCTGGAGGGGTTCCTCAGACCCTAAGGCTCCATGTACCTATAGAGATACTTAAGCCTTAAAGTACCTAGGGACCCCTTTAAGGCCTAAGTATCTACTATAAAGGTACATGGAGCCTTTGGGAGAGGGCAGACGGAGATGCCGGCTTTCCTTACGAAGTGGTGGTCTGCTTTAGTGACCTGTGCAGATCATTCATTTCGATGTTTTGCGTCAGATCCACCATTAACTCTTGTTTGAACCTGCTACCTCTATACCCTATACTGTTACATAAACTTGTGCAGTACAAAGAAGGATAAAGTGCAGCAGACTCTGTAGGATTCGTACATTCAGGGATTTACGGTTCTGGTACAGGCTCTTGATTGCAGTCGAACTCAGAGCCCTCCATGTAGAGGGTACACCACTCTTGAATAATGCGGTGTTACAGCCAAAGGACACCACGCACTGATATGAGGGAAGTTACCGACATAGAAACCGCTAAGAAACCATGTGCCCATATAGTAGGTACTTAGGCCTTAATGAGGGTCCCTTTATTGGGCAACCCTGCTATACTATGTGGTATGCTGGTACCCGAAGTTCAGAACCCTGCAGACCTAAGAGGGCAGAGGTTTTGGGGTGTTAAGGGTTGACCTTAACCCGGAATAACCCACCTTTTTAAGGGTTTATATAAGGCAATCATAATAAGGAACCCCAAAAAGGTAGGTTATTCAGGGTTAAGGTAGGGTATAGTAGCTCCTTTTGGGACTAAATATGAACCCCAAAAAGGAATTACTATGGTGCCTATGGGTAGGGATACCCCAGGCCTACACCTTAAACCCAAAACCCGACATCGCAAGTCTTCTTTTCTTGCACAGCCGCATGTTGCCGGGCCTCTATAAGAAATCGATGTCTTTTAGTGCTGTCGACAGGGTTTCGAAAGTGCTTTGAGGTTTTGTTCGCGGAGCGTCCCCCGTTCAAATCAGACTCATTTGACCCATAGCTGGCAGTATCATAATGCTCTTTCCTGCCTCAGAGTTTCAGACCTTGGTTCTGCATCGCTGTAGCCTTGGGCCTAGGAATGCTAGGCTAAGCTTTGGTTTGAGAATCTAGTCTAGAACAGTCCAAGCTGTTTCCTAATTCCATAATGGCAGTGCTTATGGAACCCCCCCCTGAAGCCTTATACATCCCTTTACCAAGGAACCATGTGCTGCAAGGGGCCATTCTGTACACAATCCTCATGACCGGCATTCTGTTGGAACGGGCCCCGAATTTCATTCCTGGCGCTGCTCGCTGTGCGATTCAGATCGGTGGGTGAATTCCTAGGATGCCCAGTAGTACCCTTATTCCCTTTTTGTAGTCCTAGGCTCCTTATAAAGTTACCCAATACCAAAAAGAGAGGCCTTTTTATTCTTAGGTTACTGGGTATCCTAGATTCAGCTTTTGGGTTAAGGGTGTAGAGTCTTTGCCTCTCGCCCTCCTCTTTTCCTATATGTAGTATTGGTTTGACATATGATATGTGCGGAGGGTCTGGGGACTGAGCATCTAGTTGCGTTATAGATTTACACAGATCATAGCCCCATTAGATCCCAGTACTAGTTCAGGGTGCTTATCAGTCTACTTATTCTGTACTTACCAGGTCCCCCGACCCTCCAAGTATTCTCATAAAATACGCATTTTCATCTGCTGAAGAGAAGAGTTCATGGCCCCAAGCTTTACATCCTTAAGCAGTTCTACAAATGCTCGAGAAGTGTCGGACTTGTGGAAGTAGCAGGCTGAGAATTTAAGGAATCTGCAGGCCTGACACTGATACCTGCAATTACATCAGGCCCAGCGCAACCCTTCGAGGGAAGCCACAGACATGAAGCACTGTCTTTGGTTTTAGGGTTTAGGGTTTAGGTCCAGTGGTGGTATTGTTCTGGCATTTGTCGCAAGAAGCTGTAGAAAAGGCGCAAGCACCAAAGCCGGAACTGCCGTTGGCTTGAACGGTGCGGCAAATACAACAAAACAGAGCGAGACATAGGTATGCATGCATGGTGCATGGATGGCTGGCTGGCTGGGTGGGTTGGTGGGTGGGTGTGTGGGCGGGCAGGATCGAATGGATGGGATGGATGGGATGGATGGGATGGATGGGATGGATGGGATGGATGGGATGGATGGGATGGATGGGATGGATGGGATGGATGGGATGGATGGGATGGATGGGATGGATGGGATGGGAGGGATGGGAGGGATGGATGGATGGATGGATGGATGGATGCACGGAGGGACGGAGGGACGGAGGGACGGAGGGAGTATGTACGCATGTATGTGTGTGCGAGTGTGCGTGTGTGCACTTGTAATCGCCTTAACGACGAGCACGAAGGAGATTGCTCTGTAAACTTTGGGTCCAACAGGCTGTCAGCGTTACCTGCCTGCTGTACCTCGCGCGATCGTACTGGTACTTCGAGAAGCATTACCGCTGGCAGGCAGGAGCACTTTTAGCCCAGGGTTCAGAGTCTAGGTATAAACACCTCGTTCGGGTTCGAAGACGTCACAAGTTACACCTGGGCCCTCGAACTGGGTTTGTCTTGCGGCCACAACAGCAGAAGGTTTATGGATACAAAAGTATTTGTGCATGGCATGGACTTGCCCACAGGGCCCGAACTACTCAGACAGGAGATAACCAGGTAACCCTCTAAAGCACCATGACACCAAATGCAACACCATCAAGCCCTTTACACCACCGTAAAACCTGGTACATACTCGGGCTCTCGAGACACCAGACGGGAAGCCTTTTGTAGCAATATGGCATGTTAGTTACTTGGAGACGAAGACCTGGAGCCTCAGGGTTAGGGCTACGTGGAGTATCCAGAGGCTCATACCCTGCCCGTTTTTTGAGGCACCTGATTTTCTACATGACAGATCCTAACCATAAAACCAGGTATTCCAAAAAAGTGGTAGGGTATCACCCTCCAGGTATTCTCAGACCCTAAAACGGGATCGTGCACTGGCCACTGCTCAGAGGCTCAGGGGACGTACAAACTGCGTAACAGGTAGCACTGGGACACTTGTAGCCCCAACTAGAGTCTGCACTTATGACTTCTTGAGTTAAAAGTAGCTGTTTCCACACACTCGTTTTGAGGGTTGGATCCTTGGGGGCTGGATCAGGGGGGTTTGAAGGCCAAAACCAATTTCCTCAATAGTGCAGTTCAATATACCGATTTAAGGTTTCAAGCTGTTGTAGTATTAGCTTATTTATGTATTTTATTAGGAATTTCAGTGCCGGGGCACGGCCGTTGACCAAAACATTTTAAAGCACACTGGGAAGCCAGCGTGAGGAAACCCTTTTTTGCCAAACATTTTTGCATTTGTCCAAGCCGGATGTATTGAGCGATGGTGTTCGCTTCTGTCCAAGCCGGATGTGTTGGAAGCTGAAACGTGGTCCTTTGTCACGTGCCACTGCTTGGTTGGCTTGGTTGCTTGGTTGCTTGGCTTGCTTGGCTTGCTTGGCTTGCTTGGCTTGCTTGGCTTGGTTCGACTCGCCCTACCCATCCTGCACGCCCAAGCTCAGAGTGGTCTTAGAGACCGCTCCAGTCGGGCTCGGACCACGTGAGCAATGGGTCCTTGATCCGTGCGGGACAGCGTCGCTGGCCGGGCGCTGGGGATTTACTCTGTGTGCTGCTCGCCTGTCCAGCCAGGTGGTGTGTCCGCCGCGGGGTGAAATGCACACAGATTGCAGGGAAGGCCTCGCTACTATTAATAAATACTATGCCACGTACCCACACCACGGTCGAAGTATTAACTTCGATCACTGCTGCTTGCCGGCATGGCCCCGCATGGCATCTTATGCTGTGCCTCATTGACAGGTCTTCAGTAACCGGCGCGTTGCGCAGCGATTCCGGTGCACTCGATGACGAGCATGACCTGTCCTCTTGCGGGCCGGTATGCAAGGCAATTGGATTTCAGCGCTCCGCATAGGGCAAAGACGGCGCATACTCAGCAGGGTGACCCCATCTTGGCCGAATGGGGGTGGCATTTAAAGAAGTCTCCAGTCCGCATGACTGTCAGAGCACACTCGTGTTTGCAAAGACGCTGGGGAGGCCGTTACTGTGTCGGCATGGCATTGCTTGGCTTGGTTGATTCGATTCTGCAGTGGCATCAATTCTGGTAGCATCAATCAATTGTGGTAGTCAGCATGGCATTGCTTGGCTTGGTTGATTCGATGCTGCAGTGGCATCAATTCTGGTAGCATCAATCAATGTCAATGGTGGTAGTCAGCATGGCATTGCATGGCTTGATTGCTTCGATTGTTGCGGTGGCATCTGATTCGATTTTGCGGTGGCATCAATTCTGATACCATCAGTTCTGGTAGCAGCAACTGTGGTAGTCAGCATGGCATTGCTTGGCTTGGTTGATTCGATTTTGCAGTGGCATCAATTCTGGTAGCATCAGTTCTGGTAGCATCAACTTGTCAATTGTGGTAGCAACAATTGTGGTAGCGCTAATTGTGGTAGCATGATTTGCGGTAGTATAACTATTGTGGTAGCATCAATGGCAAGGTCTGCCTGGCATGTTTTGACAGAGCCGGGGGGGGGGCAGGGCTGGCATGAAATTTGCATTTTGCCAGGTGAAGTCGTTTCAGAAGGCATGTGAGTGATATTTGCGCGGAAGGCTCAGTGAGTGTGTGTGTGTGTGTGTGTGTGTGTGTCAGCTTGCTTGGTGATTGATTGTGAGCCCCTTGTAACCTAATGCTGCAGTTCTGGCTCAAGTGGTCTGCCTGGCATGTTTTGACAGAGCCGGGGGGGGGGCAGGGCTGGCATGAAATTTGCATTTTGCCAGGTGAAGTCGTTTCAGAAGGCATGTGAGTGATATTTGCGCGGAAGGCTCAGTGAGTGTGTGTGTGTGTGTGTGTGTCAGCTTGCTTGGTGATTGATTGTGAGCCCCTTGTAACCTAATGCTGCAGTTCTGGCTCAAGTGGTCTGCCTGGCATGTTTTGACAGAGCCGGGGGGGGGGCAGGGCTGGCATGAAATTTGCATTTTGCCAGGTGAAGTCGTTTCAGAAGGCATGTGAGTGATATTTGCGCGGAAGGCTCAGTGAGTGTGTGTGTGTGTGTGTCAGCTTGCTTGGTGATTGATTGTGAGCCCCTTGTAACCTAATGCTGCAGTTCTGGCTCAAGTTGTGCTATGTCGAGTGTGGCCCTCCAGCATCTCCCTGAGGAATTGTGTCTCGAGGAGCAGGGCCAGGATCTCCGGAAAGCACAGCAAGCAATCTACTTGCTCTATTTGCTCTGCCCGAGAAAGGCTGTTGATCTTGTGACACCTGCAGTACATTTCAGACAATTTCCAATTGAGAATAATTTGCTACCTGACATGTCATTGTTTCAATGCAACAACATTTGAGGAGAGCTTTCAAACGGGGAAGAGACGGCATCCAGAAACCAGAAGCCTGGATTCTGTCAGCCTGTAACAAGAACGTTAGAGAGCACTTTGGCAAAGATTGATGCAGCCCTTTTTTTGGCGCTTAAACTTTCATCATTACAATTCCGTGTTCATTCGAGGCACAATCAAAGCTTGGGGATAGCATACAGCCAATTCGATGTCGGGAACTACGGCAGCAAGAAAAGTTCCGGTGACTTGGGGCGGGGCAAAGAAGAAGACGACTCGGACGATTGGGGACGCAAGTGGAAGAATGGTGTCGCGAGCGAGGTCGTTCGAACTCGAAGGTTTGAAGGTTTGAGAGTTTGGAGGTTGAAGCGTGAAAGTTTCAAACTTTGAAGGTTTGAAGGATCGAAAAGTGCTGGAGTTCGAAAGTTTGTGCACCTTGGTGTGCACAAGCTAGCCGCGGTCAAACTTCGAACTTTTCGAACTCGAAACTTTCAAACTTTCAAGCTTTCAAACTCACGAACTTTCGAGCTCGACTGGCTGCTTGAAACTCAAACTTCAAACTTTTCCCGCGGGCGAGTTCGATCGGCCTTCGAAGTTTGAGAGTTCGAGACTTTGAAAGTTTGCAAATTCGAAGGTTCGACGGTTTCAAACTTTGAAAGTTCGAACGTTCGAAAGTTTGAAAGCTCGAAAGTTAGAAAGTTCGAAAGTTTGAAAGTTCGAAAGTTCGGAGTTTGAAAGGTTGGCTTCAGATTTCCTCTTCGGCTTGGGCTGAGGTGACGAGTTTGAAAGTTCGAAGGTTTCAAACTTCGAAAGGTTTCATGTTCGAAGGTTTGAAAGTTTCAGAGATCGAAAGTTTGAAAGGGATGAAAGTTCGCGAGTTTGAGAGTTCGAAAGATTGAAAGTTTGCAAAGTTTGAAGGTTTGAAGCGCGTCGAGATGCAAAGTTTGAAAGTCCGCTGAGTTTCGAGCTTGAAAGTTCGAGAGTTTGACAGTTTGAAAGTTCGAGTTTGAAAAGTTTCAGAGTTTGAAGCGCTCGACATGCGGTCACGTATATGGGTTTTGTTCGCAACCTCAATTAAGTATCTTGAACAAACACGCCTTCTTTGTTGGCGATTCCGGTTCACTTCGCCCTCATTTTGCGATTCCGGTCATCATAGCCCCTCACCACATATCTTAATTACGCTCCCATTGGGCGATTCCAGCACACCGTGTAACTTAAACGCACCCCTTGAGTTGGCGATCTTAAGCACACCCCTCATTTAGCTTTTCCGGGTCATCGTATTGTCGTATTACGCTTGCTCATTTGGCGCTTTCGGTTAATTTTACATCTTACACACGCCTTCTCTTTTGGCGATTCTAGTATATCTCAAGCACGCCCAAAGGACGTTTTGGTTCATTTCTTCGCGGCTTAAACAAACGGGGAGTTTGCTGTCTAAAAGCGCATCCCCCCCCTCCCCCTCCATTTGCAAAGCTTCCGAACCACCCAACATGAATATTATTTTCGCTTTTAACCCCCCGATGCGTTTTCGTGTGGCTTTCTCCTTTGTGTGTCTTGGAGAAGACTTTTCCCGGCGACTAGTGGTACTATTCGGGGGGGGTGGCGAGGGGCTCATGGGTGAAATATGATAGGGGGGCTTTGTAGTGTTGGATCTGGGCGAAGTATGAGAGAGGGGGTTGGGTGAAGTATGTAGTCCTCCAAATCACTGGGGTTGGGTGAAGTACCTAGTCCTCCAAATCACCTTCCAAATCACTCATGATTATTATGCTCTTTTCTTCGTCTTTAACCCCCCTGAAGCGTTTTCGTCTGTTGTTTTTCGTTTGTGTGTGTTGGAGAAAACGCGGCTTAAGAGAGCAGGAAGTTTGCAGTCTAAAAACAGCGGGGGGTTGGGGGGGGGTGGGGGCGCAGCCCCCCCCATTTGCAGAGTTTCCACATCATTCATGAAAGAAGGGGGGTTTTGGGTGAAGTACGCTTGCAGTCTAAAATAAGCGGAGGGGGGGAGGGGGGGGTTGGGGGGCGCAGAGCCCCCTCCCTCATCTGCAGAGGTTCAAAATCACTCATGATTCATGATGTCTTCTTCGCTTCTAATCCACCTGAAGCGTTT